AAGTCAACTTTACATCTTCTGTTGGTTTTAGAGATCAGCCTCATTTACTTTATCAGATGCACCTACATAGCCCTGGACTCCTGAAATGGGAGGAGTGAGCATTTAAAAGAGATCTTTTTTGGGCTCTGAAATTTCAGAATTGCCTGGAAAAAAAAGTCCCCAAAACGGAAGGCCTCAGGTGATGGAGAAATAAGCTATAACATGAGGAATCCCCCAAAAAATGACAAAGGTGAGGTCACCAGAGGCCAAACATACTTTTCTCACAGTTAACCTGGATAGTATAGTTTTAATTTGCATTTGGTGGAAATGGCTGTGTCTCCATTTGCTGATTCAGAATCAATTGAAGATGTCCATGTTCTAGTGCCTGAGGATGGAATGTAGGGGGTGATTTGGAAATGTTCATGCTCGGCAGAGCAGAGCTCTTCAATAACTGTCCTCTTGGACATTCTGTATTGTAGATGAATTAGATAAGCCTGTGTCCTGTTCGTTCTAGTTTAAACCGAAATCCAATTATGAGCCATTATTTGTTTCAATTACTGTAAGCAAACACAATGGTTTATTTATTTTTAATTCAGAAGTTGATTGTGAAACTTGAGGTTTACTCAGAGTGATGTTGAAACCTCTGTTTTCTGCTCTGGCTCGGCTTGCTGACCAAATGGTCATTTGTACGGAGTGACGGTGACCCAGCTCCCTCCACACGAGATCTTCCCCCTGCTCCCATCGGAGTGTCTGAGGCTTCCATCACTCAGCCTGGGGTGGTATTAGCTTAAACTGCACTGGAAAACTCAAACACACCTCATCTCACTATACTGCAAATCAGCACATCGATTTACCTAGCATTCAGCCAACTGGAGAGGCAATTTCAGAGGGAACAGGACTCGGGGTAGTCTTTTAATTTGGAGCTTGGGTACCATTAGTGGTTAGAGAGGGTTCAGAGGATAGCAAAGGAGATGTTCAACGACTTACATTATTATCACCACTTCCTAATCCGCAAGACTGGCCCAGGGTGTAAATATCAAAAGGAGAAAAAGAAAATCTACCTGGAGCAAGTCCTCTGCCCCGATCTTATCATCATTTATATATGATTAAGCTACAGGGAGGGCCGTGATGTCACATTCTTTCTTTCAGTTTGAGCTCCGTTTAAAAAAAAAGAAAACGAAGAGCAAACTGCAAATTATTTTTTTTTTTATCTGCAAGGGGTCATCTGGCTGTAACCCCTACATAAGCCAGGTATGAGGATTTGGCGTGAACACGCGGTTTTGCTGAGAGGTGCATTTATTTTCGGGGTGAAAGGTGTTCAGGTAAATCCATAAGGTTTTCATGTGCGAAGAGGTCTCCACCTTTCTGCTCCATGAACCAGTCTCCTGGGCACCAGAGGTGAGGCTCGCGGCGCGGCCCGAGCGCTGGGCCCGGGCTCGAGGTCTGGACCGGGGTTCGACCGGCAGCAAAGCCCGAGGCCGGACCCACCACGGCCTTCTGGATCCCCGGTGCCTGCGCGATAAGCCTGGGGCGATGTCAGCTCCGGCAGGCAATGGGCACCTGGGAGTCCCGACTGCTCTGGCCGCGCAGGGCACGGGATCCCTCTTCGACCCCAGGTTCTGGTCGCCTGGCAGAAGTGCTCAGGAGTGAGGCCTCATTGGTCCCCACTGAGCGTTTCGTTGCCGGCTTGTTGCGCGAGGTCTGAATGCACCATGGAAACAACCTAGGGTGGGTATGGGAAAGAAAGAAACATACTTCAGAAGCACTCACCAATATAAATTCTTAAAAATAAAAATTTTAATGCAATAATTTAGCGCTAGACAGACCGAATGAACACAGATACCAGAAAATAAACTTTCGGCTGGGGGATGTAGCTCAGTGGTAGAGCGCGCGCTTCGCATGTGTGAGGTCCCGGGTTCAATCCCCGGCATCTCCAAAGCAGCCATCTTTCGTTTTTTTCTTTTCTCCCTTCTTTGTTATTTTGGAACATTTATGCTATTACCTTTACATACAGTTTGTTGACATCTAGGCCGCCCGAAAATAACAGAAAAGGAAAGCTAAAAAAAAAAAAAAAATCAGTGAAGCTTAGTAAAACAAACTTTTCGAGTGCTTGAAAAGTGAGATAGGGAATACGCTTTGGTTAACATTTCTTTATTTGCATGAGGCCAGTGTTTAAAGGCTGTTATTGAACTTTGGGGCTCCTGTGACAACCACATTTAAAAAAAAAAAAAAGTTGCATTGGCCGGGAATCGAACCCGGGCCTCCCGCGTGGCAGGCGAGAATTCTACCACTGAACCACCAATGCTCATGAAGGTCTCGTTTCTCTATTGCTTACTAAAAGACATTTATGCCCTGGTAATGATTGCATTCTAGTAATAATTACGTATGTCTGTATTCAAAACTAGAGAAAACGAACTTTTAATCACATAATTATAAAATATTGGGAAAACATTATCATTTACAAAAAAATTTATTATAACTTCTGTAGAACTTTATGAGATTCTTTCTTCCGAAACTCTCTTCGGTGGAGGAGGCGAATGAAGATTTTGTTATTTCCGCACAGAATTACACAAACACCTAGCCTATCTTCAGACACTTAGATAATTTATAACAACTCTCCCCCAACCCCCTGCCGTGTTTTTCTTTCATTATTTTACCTATTCAGACAAAATACATCCTGGAGATTTGTTAGAAATCGGGAATAGAGGCAAAGAAACAGGGAACAGAAATTTGATGACTGACCTAAATTTATAATTTGGAAATTGGTAAATTGGAACTATGTGATTTGCATAGGAAACTTGAAATATTGGTGGCTCTAGCCAAGTTACCTGAATTCTCTATGCTGCCCTTTCTTTCATTTGGGAACTTCCTTTTAACTCTTGATAGTATGAGTCTGATCCTTTACCCTTAGTTTCCAAGGAAAGTGAAATTGTGAATGATATAACAAAAGATACAGGAGGGGGAAAAACTAAAGTGAAGGAAATGAATTTATGGAAATGACTCTAAATACAGTATAGAAGGCTGTGGATGCAGGCAACATTTGCTTTTTATCTCTGGAAGGGAAATTTCTAACAATTTCCTGAATCTTTGGTTAAGAAGATTTTGGGTAAAAGTTATGAGAAAATAACAGCTAGCACATACCAGTAACTATGCGCCAGGCTATGTAAGTACACTACACATGGACTTCAACCCCATGAGGCAGGAAACTGAGGCTCTAGAGACAAGATTGGAACACACAGTGTTACGTTCAGTGTTGGAGTGCTTAGCCCTGCCCTGTTCAGCATGCAACCAAATACTGTATATTGAAACTCAAAATGCTGCGTGTAGTTTAGGACATTAGATGTTAAGAATAATAGAATGGATTTCGAAAAAGATCATAAAAGGCTACTGAAATAATATGACTTTTCCATTAAGATTTATCTTTAAGGGCCAGGAGCGGTGGCTCATACCTGTAATCGTAGCACTTCGGAAGGCGGAGGCAGGCGGATTGTCTGAGGTCAGGAGTTCAACACCACCCTGGCCAACATGGTGAAACCCTTCTCTACTAAAAATACAAAAATTAGCCGAGCGCGGTGGAACATGCCTATAATCCCAGCTACTTGGGAGGCTATGGCAGACGAATTGCCTGAGCCCAGGAGTTGGAAGTTGCAGTGAGCTGAGATCACGCCGCTGTACTTCAGCTTGGCTGCCAGAGTGAGACTCTGTCTCAAAATAAATAAATAAATAAAAAGATTTATCTTTAAGGACTTTTTAGTTTGTGGATGAAGAGCAAAATCAGAAGACAAATACAGAATTATAAAGACATAAAAGATATGAAGGGATCAGGGTATCAGAGAATCAGACGATAATCCTAAATAACCTATGGAAGAACAAGGTCAATTCATTTTACTTCTAACTTTATTCTTTAAAATGAAAGAAATGGGGTTTTAAAATCCCATTCTGGACCCGGTGCAGTGACTCACGCCTGTAATCCCAGCACTTTGAAAGTCCGAGGCAGGCGGATCACGAGGTCGAGAGATCAAGACCATCCTGGCCAACACAGTGAAACCCCGTCTCTACTAAAAAAAATAAAATAAAATAATAGTAATAACACAAAAAAATTAGCCGAGCTTGGTGTCACATGCCTGTGGTCCCAGCTACTCGGGAGGCTGAGGCAGAAGAATCATGGTGAGGCCTCACTTTCATGGCAGGGACTACAGGTGTGCACCACCACACCCAGCTAGTTTTTAATTTGCTTTTTATTTTTTGGTGAGAAGGGAGAGGTGTCTCGCTATGCTAGCCAGGCTGGCCTCGAACTCGAGCTCAAGCAATCTTCCCTGCTTGGTCTCTCAAAGTGTTGGGATTACAGGCGTGAGTCACTGTGCCCGGCCCCTGAGATTCTTTAAAGATTGTTTTTTATTTTGAGTCCTAACTTCACAAATCTAAATAATCTTAGATTATTTAGTTCAGGACTTCTCAAAGTTTTTATTTTGAACTTGTAACCGAATAAACTAAGGGAAATAAATAGTTTAAAATGAGCTGGTGGAACTGAGGGAGCAGGGCGATAAAAGTGAGGCCTCGCCAGCCAGTGGTGAAGTTCAAGTGGGAGGCTGGAGGTCGAAGCTTCAGGGAGTCAAGAGTGTGTCACTGCACTCCAGCCTGGGCGTCAGAGTGAGACCCTGTCTCAAAACAAAACAAAACAAAAAACACCAGCTGGGCTCGGTGGCTCACACCTGTAATTCCCAGTGCTTTGGGAGGCTGAGATGGGCGGATCATGAGGTCAGGAGTTCGAGACCAGCCTGGCCAACATGGTGAAACCCCATCTCTACTAAAAATACAAAAAATTAGTGGGCCATGGTGGCAGGTGCCTGTAATCCCAGCTACTTGGGAGGCTGAGGCAGGAGAATCGCTTGAACCCAGCGGGCGGAGGTTGCGGTGAGCGGAGATTGCACCATTGCTCTCCAGCCTAGGCAACACAGTGAGACTTTGTCTCAAAAAAAAAACCTCAGAACACGAGAAAGTATAGTCTTTTTTTTTTTTTTAATTGAGGAGTTTATTAGGGAAATATGAGAGGTACAGACACCCCAAGTGACAGAAAGAAAAGTTTGAAAATGACCCTTCAAGCCAAGTGGGGGCCTGGCCTTGACCTCCCCAAATCAACAAGAAACTGGTGGGTTAGCAAGAACATTCTCTGGCAGCCACATTGTCAGGACATGTGTGTTTTGGCCAGGGCTGCTCCCTACTTCCCACCAAAGGTGGGGAGGAGACAGACTGTTCACAGAAGCAGTGCAAAGGCAATGAGAACTTTAAGGAAAGTTTGAGCGAGAGAGAGGGAGAGAGAAAGAAGGACAGAGGTGGGCAGGACCTTCACAAAGAGTCCCAGGCTTTTGGCTGTGAATATTTCAAATACATTTGAAAAGTAGATCTATAAAATGTTACTGAAAAGGTAAAATGCCTAATGTTATTTCCAACAGTTCCTCTGGACTTCTCCCCACATACCACACCACACCCCAGATGGCAGAGACCAAAGGCCACACTTTTGAAAAAAGAAAAACAAGAATAAGCCCTGTTGCTCTTTAAGGAGAAAGGAAGGAGCTGAAGGCTGCTGGGGCCTTTCCCATGTGGCCTGTGTTCTGTAAAGCAACTTCCCAGCAGCACGACGGCACTGTTCTAGGTGAGTGTCTCACCTTTTGTCACCCGTGCTTCAATATACTCTATCCTCCGTTCAAGGGCTGTCAACTTCTCGTTTAGTGTTGCAAGTCTTGAACGACATGACATATCGAACGAGTTGAGAAAGTCCGCGATTTTCTTGATGCTGCTGGTGATTATTTCAATGTAGTCCCGGTTAGCCCAGTCCTGGTGAATCTCCCTCTGCACCGGATCCTCTTGTCCCGCCATGGCGGCCGCCTGAGGAAGAACCGAAAGTATAGTCTTAAGTAAAACATCACTAGTGGCCTAACCAAAGGCCTCTATTTTTATTTTTTTCTTGCTAAAAGTCCATTCTAGTTTACCTAGCTCAAGGGACAAATGTGGTGTACTAAGCCAATTATCTCATTTTTCTTTCCAAATTGATCTGAGATGTGCTTTTCACTGAATCCCTGCCAATGAGGGCAAGAATAGTTAGCTAGGAGTTTCTGGGAAAGATGATATGGAAGATCTCTCTTACCCTTTCTTTTCTCCTTGTATAAGGGTGTAATGCTTGAAGCTGCCCCATCCAACCTGTGCTTGACGGGAGACAGAGGATGATCCAGCAGGAAAATAGAAAAAGGCTCTACATCATCCTGAAATTTTTTTCATGCAGACTTTTGGTTAGGTAAACTGAAGATCTTTATTGTTTAAGTACCTTTAAGTTCAGCATCTTGTTACATGTAGACAAAGGCATTCAAGGTGTGCGTGTATGTGTGTGTGTGTGTGTGTGCGCGTGTGCGCGCACGCGCCCACCTCCACACATACGCATCCAGCAGTCCACCCAACTCCTTCTGGCACAGGAAAGCTTCTGTTCTATAGATAATCAATACTTTGAGATTTGGGTTAGACTAACTTGCCTCTTTTTCTATATTGCTCTGTCACAATAACAGGTGTGTAAAATAGGTCTAATCAAATATTTTCCCTTGGCACTGTACTTAACTTAGAGATGGGTATGTGACTAAAGGTGGGACCATGAAGAGTCCTTGCTGAAATTATTTTGCAGAAGTTTTAAGTAAAAACTATCTTTTTGCTGGGTTGTTCAAACAGGTTGAGTGTATAGTTTGGATTGTCCAGAAGAAAGAGACAAACGTATTCCTAACATGATATTGAGCCCCTAGAAGCAGCCATGCCTGACAATAAAAAATTCTGGATTTTGTGTTTATATGAATCAGTAAATTGCCCTTAAACAATAAGTGGTGGGCCAACTGTAGTGACTTAACACCAGTCATCCTCAACACTTTAAGAGACTGAGACAGATGGATCAACTGGGCCAGGATTTTGAGACCAACTTGGGCAACATAGTAAGACCTTTTCTCCACAAAAATAAAAAAAAAAGAAAAAGAAAAACCTGGCCGGGCGCGGTGGCTCACGCCTCTAATCCCAGCGCTTTGGGAGGCTGAGGTGAATGGATCACAAAGTCAAGAGATGGAGACCATCCTGGCTAACATGACGAAACCCCATCTCTACTAAAAAATATATACAAAAAATTAGCCAGGCATGGTGGCACACGCCTGTAGTTTCAGCTACTCAGGAAGCTGAGGCAGGAGAATTGCTTGAACCAGATAGGTAGAGGTTGTGGTGAGCCAAGATTGCACCACTGCATTTCAGCCTGGGCAACCGCGTGAGACTCCATCTAAAAAAAAAAAAACTTAAATTAGCCAGGTGTGGTGGTGCACACCTGTAGTTCCAGTTACTGGGGAGACTGAGGTTAGAGGGTTGCTTGAGCCTGGGAGTTTGAGGCTGGCTGCACAACGACAGTTTGAGCTATAATTGTGCCATTACACTTCAGCCCTGTCTTAAAAAAAACAAACAACAAAAAGAGCCTTTGAAGTTAGTTTGAGCAGTATTTTGCTAGAATCTTAACACAAATTAAGAAATTCTTTTACCCCAAAGATAGCAAATTTAGAGGTTTCAGTGAGCCAAGATCATGCCATTGCACTTCAGCCTGGGCAACAGAGTGAGACTCCATCTCCAAAAACCAAAAAGAAAAGTTTAGAGAAATTTGTCAATGATAGCACTATAAGGCCACAACAATAAACCATGAGAAAAATTTTAGGACAAATTCCCAGCTTGTTGGAATAAGGTAAATTCTGTTGCAAAGAAGGATCAGAGCATTTGAAAGAATATTCAGGCAACAGTGTGACAGAGAAGTAGAAAGAAGAGAAACTAAAAATAGAGAAATCCATTCAGGAGGTGGTTAGAATAGGAGTAGAAAGGTGATGAGGTCTCGAACCACAGTGAAGGCTCTAGCATGAGGTTCATGGCAAGGCAGAAGGAGGAAGAAAAATTAATCTAGGAATCTAGCTTAAATGATTGATAGACTTGTGGTGTTGTGTAGAAAAGTAAAGAAGAGAAAATACTGGAAGGAAAGGGGTGGGGTAAAGTGCTCATTTTTGGGAATTCTGACTTTGATGTAAGTAGGAGGAGGTGCCTGCTAGGTGGTTAGGTCAACCCCTGGATAAATCAAGGCTACAGAAGTGGTTTTGGAAGTCAATCAACTGAGAGGTGAAATGCAAAAATGTGGAAATGGAGAAAATCACATAGAGGGATGAGTGCTGAGGACACAGCCTTAGGGAATGACAGGCATTGAGCAGCCACATGTGCAGAAGCAGGGAGGTGGCATCTGTGGAGGCAGGGAGAGCCCCACTTCTTTTGCTAACTCTGAATAATACAACATGACAAACACATGTGTCAGTGTGTTTCATAGATACACTGTGTAGTAATACTGTTTCACATCGGGAATGCTGTAGTAGGCAGTGATTTCATTATCCACGTGGTCAAGCTTGAAGAGATCAGAGGATGGTCAATAGTGTCTTCTGGGTGGCACACACTAACACTTCCCTTGGTCTGCTCTGCTCCCATGCTCAGATAAGAGGCTCCCACTGAAGCTGGTAGAAAGAACGAAAGCCCTTGAGCACTGTGATGTGTTATACAATCTTCTCTTTGAGGCAACCCTGGCCATTGTGACACCCACTGGCACAAGCATGGGCTTGTAAGTTGCATCATAGCATCTTGGAGCACTTGCTCAAGGCAGCAAGTTCCTAGCTGGTGTTAGCTCATCATAGAAAAGTGGCCAGGCTTATATCATCTGAAGAAGTAAACAGTTCAGAAACAGAAATAGTTCATATAATGCAAAGTCACCAAAGCAATGCTTTTTTTTTTTTTTTTTTTTTTTAACTTGTGAGTGATTGTATTGATTTAATACACACAGCTTATTTCTGTCCCAGGTTACAAACTAGCCCTAGGGAAATGGTGGAGCCAGTCATTTGGATTGCCCTTTACTGGCTGGGAATTAAATCATTACTTATTCCATTTTAGAATCACAAGTAGTACCCTAAGGCCTACTTTCCTAAGGATTAAAATCAAGGCATGGAAATGAAGAATCCAGGTGTAATTCTCAGATGCATGCAGATGTTGAGAATGCAGCAATTTTTCCTGGAAAGCTGTCACTGCAAAATCATCCTGCTCACGATATGCTCATTCCTAGTCCTCAAGCATGTCCAATTAGTCAACAAGTCTGATTTCTCCTTTTAAGATGGTATTGACTCTTTCCTTCCTCCTCACGCCAATCTCTCCAACCCAGTGCAATGATCAGCTCACTCCCTGGGATACCCAGGAAACCTCAGATCTCCTCCATCATCCTGCATGCTGCTAACAATTGCATTTTTTTCCCTTTTCCTCCCTTACTTCTTCTCTTTCTCCTTTTTTTTTCTTTCTTCCGTCTTTAATTTTGGAAAATTCAATCATTTCCTTATTCCAAAACTGAATTAATTTTAAATCCATACAGAGTCCTCATGGTGGAAGAAATGTGAGTGGGAATTCTTTACCTTTCTCTTGACTCTCATCACTCGGTGAAGCATTTATTCAAATACTTTAGAGCTGTGCCGCTTGGCAGAAATAGCCTTTCACTTTCCTTCCTAAAGCTCTCTCTTCTTCTTCCCAAGTTATTTTGGTCTTTTAAAATATATGTTTTTTCATAAGAAACCCACATGCATGGTGCAAAATTCAAAAGGTATGAGAGAGTATGCATTAAAAAGTATGCCTGGCCAGGCAGTGGCTCAGTCTGTAATTCCAGCACTTTGGGAGGCCAAGGTGGGTGGATCACCTAAGGTCACAAGTTCGAGATGAGCCTGGCCAACATGGTGAAACTCTGTCTCTCCTAAAAAATGCAAAAATTAGTCAGGTGTGGTGGCACATGCCTGTAATCCCAGCTACTTGGGAGGCTGAGGCAATAGAACCTCTGGAACCCAAGAGGTGGAGGTTGCAGCGAGCCAAGATCACACCACTGCACCCCAGCCTGGGCGATAGAACCTGGGTTTCCTTTCCTAGAGGCAACCATTGTTATCAGTGTCCTGTGTTTCCCTTCATAAATATTTCTATGTAAATACAAATACTGCAACTTTTATTTAAATTTTTTTAAATCTTTTTTTTGAGACAATTTATTTTTATTTATTTATTTTAATTATTTTTATTTACAGAAAACTCAACAGTGTACATTTAATCCAGTTTTGTGGCAAGTTCTTTAGCCTTTGCCTTTTCGAGCTTGGCCATGCGAGCCACAGACTTGGGACCCAGGACATTGCCTCCCCCGTGACGGCGGATCTCATCATATCTGTCATTGTAGTTGGTGTGGATAGCTTCCACCAGCTTAGTCAAAGCACCTTTGTCTTCCGAGTTAACGTATATGAAGGCAACAGTGGTGCAGGTCTTCCTGTGGACTAGACGTCCCAGTCTTGCCTTCCCCTTGATAATGCAGTGAGGGACTCCCATTTTATGACACAGGGCAGGCACGAAGACAACCAGCTCAATGGGATCCACATCGTGTGCAGTCACCACCAGCTGAGCTTTCTTGTTCTCCACCAAGGTGGCGACGGCGTTAACTCCTGCTCGGAGGACAGGTGGTCTCTTAGTGGGGATGTCCCCTTTGCCAGCTGCTTTCTTCTCAGCCCGGGGCCAGCAGCCTCTGCTTCTTCTCTTGCGTTGTCTCTGGTCTATACTTGTGGGCCAGCTTAAGCAGCTGAGTAGCTGTTTGACCGTCCAGGGCCTGGATGTACTGGTTAATTGCAGGGGGCACTTTCAGCCGCTTATAGACGATGGCTCTCTGCCGCTGCAATCTGATATAGCGGGGCCATTTCACAAAGTGGGTGAGGTCTCTTTTGGGCTGGATGTCCTGTCCAATGCCAAAATTCTTAGGCATTTTCTCAAACAGGGGAGACAATTTATTTT